TATCAGCCTAGTAGTTGGGAATACAAGAGCCTGCTCGTGCCAGGGAGCACCTTTGTTCCTGCTGGAGGCAGAAAAACCCTGGCAGAGCTTGATTTAAAGGTGCCAAATCTTCCTGCTCTACTTCCAGCCACAGCATGAGGTGTGGGGCTGTCCCTGTGTGCGCCAGGTGCTGCAGCCCCGATGGCAGCTGAGGTCATGGAACCCCCAAGCCATGACTTTTCCCCATCCAGTGCCCCGAGGCAGACAGGGAGGAGGGCAGGGAGCAGCTGGGGAGGGGGGGTTAGGGGGGGCCGGGCTGCTGTGCTTTCTATCTGTGCTGCAGGGGCATCTGAGGTCAATTCTCGCTTTGTTCCTTGTTTCTGGTTGGGAAAAGCGTTGAGTAAGCTTTTCCTTGAGCTCTGCTTCTCCTTGTCCTCGGGGCGGAGGGTCTGTGTCCCTTGTCCCTTTAAAGGGCCAGGACAGCAGTGGGACCTCTGTTCTCCCTGTGTAAGCATGTGCATCTAAAGGGAATGGCCATGGAGGGTCCCAGCAGCCTTAGGCACACAGTTTGGACCTTGGAGGTTGCCAGCACCCTGTGGGTGACCCCCATGTCCACAGCAACACATCACCCCACAACTGATATGATGCAACTTCCAGCCAGGAGGCAAACTGCTGTCTGTGGGGTGGCTCCACTTGTGTGCAGGGGGCTGTGTATCACAAGAGGCACATGGCAGCCTTTAAACTTCCCAGAACACAGGAAAATCAAGCAAAAATAAATCCTTTCTGAGTAAGACAAGACAAGGCTTTTTGTCTGGCTGGCAAGCTGGAAAGCATGGCTGTGGCACTGCTCCAGGGCCTTCTTTGTCTCAGCAAACCCTTTTGGGTGCTGCTCACCCTCGAGATGCCTCAGGGCAGCAGCAGAGTCTCCTCAACTGCTGGTTCCCAGCAGAAGCCCCACATTTTTTTTCCAAGCCTGCAGATTACAGTGTGGACACACAAAGGTAAAGTCAATATTGCTGTATTTGCTTTTTGGTCTCGTGATCAGTGAGGGTCAAGCCCAACAACTATCCCCAGGCACCCAGGGGAGGAAGTGGCAGAGCACAGGTACCAATCCTGCACCCCTGCTTTTCAGCTGGGCACACTGATCATGTTGGATTTACAGCAGTGACTGCAGAACCTGCCTGTGGCTGCCCTTATGCTCATGGCTCCCTGTCCAGTGGAGTAAAACTGCCTGGAAAACCCCTGCTGAATTAAAGGGTGTTTTTCTGAATGTCTGTAAAGTGTCACAGACTCAGACTCCTTCTCTGGTGGGACTGAAGAAACAGGAACAGCCCCCCAGATGTGCTCCCAGGCAGCTTCGTGGTACTGCTGAGAGCAAAGCCTTTGGCACTGCCTTGTTTGCTTGGGCTTGAAAGGCTTTTAGTGCCTTTCTTGCACCTCCACAGCATTCAGACATATTTAGGAAAAGCATCTGACAGCCAGGCAAGTTTATTTTTGTTCTCTTTCCATCTCCACTGCTGTGGGTGTCGGTCTCTTTTCCCAAGTAACAAGTGATGAGAGAAAACTCTCCCTCCACAATTCTATGAAATGGCCTCAGATTGTGCTGGGGAGGTTTGGATTGGATATCAGGACAAATTTCCTCACTGAAAGAATTATCAAGCATGAGAACAGGCTGCCCAGGGCAGTGGAGCCACCATCCCTGGAGGGATTTAAAAGACCTGTCGATGTGGCACTTGGGGATGTGGGTTAGAGGTGGGATTGGCAGTGCTGGGGAATGGTTGGACGAAATGATATCAGCAGATTTTTCCAATCCCAGCAATTCTATGATTCCAGCTGACTTCCTGTGTCTTGTGTCATTGTGCTGCCTGCTGTGGTGAGACAGCAAGAGAGACACAGCAGTAGAAACAAGACAAGCAAAGGGGTTTCCCATACACTATACCCCTCCCTAATCATCCTCCCTCTTTCCACAGGGCTTGCTATCAGAGGGGCAATGCCATCTCCCATGGCACCAACTCCACTGAGATTGTCATCCCCCCTCTGCTCCCCCAGAGGTGTTTTGACTTTTGATTAACTCGCAAACTTGGTCAAAAACTCCCAGGTTTGTGCTCACTCTAATCCCTTGCAGTGCCCCTTGTACCACCTCGTTGCCTCTGGTGAGAAATATTTCCTTTCATTCCCTGCCTCTTGCTGCTTGGGGTTGTTTTGTTGTTTTCTTTTTTCCTCCAACAGTTTTGCTTCCCCCTTGCCCTTCAAAGGCTGATGTGGGATCTTAAAAATAGAAATGAGCTGTGCAGCTCAAAGACCTTGCATTAGCCTGACACTGTTTCCACATGCCATTGGGTCAAGGCTCCAATCCTTGAATGCACAAACAGGGCACATGCCAGGCTGCAAACAGAGCAGCAGAATGGCTGTAACAGCAGGATTTGCAGTGCCCTCTCCAGAGGGGTCCGTGAAAGACTGGGGCCACACCATCCCTGCCTTTGTGCAGTGGATTTAAGGAAAAGCCTGGTCCAGTTTTGGGGGGAGCTGCAGTGCCCAGCCCAGGCTGGGATCCTGAGAGCAGATGGGAAAATTTGGGCTCCCCCCCACCCCCACCAACTCTGTCTACTTTTAGAAAGCAAATAATGACTCGGAGAAATGCCAAAACCCAGCAGACTGTGCTGGAGGGCAAACCCAGGTAATGGATCAGCTTTTCATGCAGCAGAGGAGCAGGAGGAGGAGGAAAGAAAAGCTGCTGTGGGCAGCACCGTGTCATGATGCCCCCATTTCCCTGCTCCACATCCCCATCAGGTCACTGCAGCAGCTGAGTGAGCTGTTTTGGAGCCATGTGTCTGATGAGCTGGTGCAGGCAGGAGGCTGCCTGCAGCCCTGCCAGCCCCACTGGCCTCTCCAGGTATCCCACCATGGACCACGGTGTCCCACACCAACCCCATCGCCCTGTGCCAGCCCCAGCACCCCGTCACCCCATGCACACCCTTCTCCTCCTGCTTATTTTTGAGCTCCATCTGGTGGCAACCAGACCTGCAAATTGAATGTCTTCCTATTTCTGCAACCTGGTCTAGTGGAAGGTGTTCCTGCCCACGGCAACAAGGTTGGAATAAGGTGGTCTTGAAGGTCCTTTCCAACCCAAATCTTTCTATGATTCTATGCTGCAGCAGCCCCACTGTGCCTGTGCCACAGGTGTCCCTGCCCTTCCTCGGTGTGCCATGAACTCCTCACCTGCAAGACACAGCATCGGTCTTTATTTTCTTGCAGGACCTGACTGTGCATAGGTGTTCTCTCTGCTCAAGTGTTTGATCAGGCTGAAAAATCCTTGTACAAATTAGGGTTTCCTCTTGCAACCGTGTCCAAACCCAACCTGTTGCTTTTTCCACCCGGGAACACTCGAACCGGGAGCTGCCGCCTTCCCAGGGCACGGCTGCAGTTCCGTGGGCTCAGCAACCGCCTCACCCTCGCTCGGAAGCATGAGCAGAGCAGGATTCATCCCTCCCCTAAACCACATTCCTTCCTCCCCTTTCCAGGCCCCTCGTGCACTGAGACTTGCTCAATTAACAGCCAGACTTGTTTCCGCCGTTCCACACAGCACGGACACTGCCCAGGCGTGGGGAGCGTTGCATAAACTTTATTAACTTTATAAATTCCAACACAGCTGTTGGCTCAGTCCCAGCAGCCACCTGCAAACAGGCAAAATAGGCTCATCAGGAGGAATTCAGTGCCAGCTGCCTTTCACCCACAGCACTTCGTGCTCCTGCCACCAGTGCCATGAGTGTGTTAGTGCTCGAGCAGCCTCACTCAGGTCACCCTGGAGAGGCTGCCTGCACCAGTCTGGAGTCTTGGCATTGCTCCCAGTGCTGCTTTTCCATGAGTCCTTCCACTGCTGCCAAGGACAGCCTGGCCTCTGGGAGTGTGCATGGGCAGGATGGGCAACAGGGACTTGGCCGGAGCAAATGCTCCCCCGGCTTGGGAGGGACCAGAGGCTCAAGGTTGCCCTGTAATGCTGTGCCCTGGGATCAGTGAGGAGCTGGGGGTGGTGGGATCATCTCCTGGCTTTGCACCAAGGGTGGGGTAAAGAGCAAAACTCTCTTTTGAGTGAAGCAGTTTTACCTTCCCTGCCTGCACCTGGGATAAGAAGACATTAGATAATTTATCCCAAACATATATTTTTCTTGGAATTAACACATGATGGTGAGTGAGACAAGGATCCAGAGCAGAGCAGCCCAGAGAGGAGCTGCCTGTGCAGGGTTCTCAGGGCAAGCAGAGCTGCTGGCTGGGAAAGGGCTGGCAGAGGCACACTGGGGTTTAGGGTGTACCTGGATGAACAGAGTCCAAAGAGACAAAAGAATGGTTATATCTGTGGTTCCAAGAGTGGGACTGGTTGCAAACCATTGCTTCCTTGAATCTATCCTTGATGGGTTCCTTGAACCCATCCCTGAAAGTGTTCACATCCAGCTTGGAAGGGGCTTGGAGCAACTTGGTTTAGTGAAAAGTGTTGTTGCTCATGGCAGGGGGGTTGGAACAAGATGAACCATGAAGATCCCTTCCATCCCAAATCAATCTATGATTCCTGGGAGGGAGCAGAGCAGTGTGGTATGGACAGAGCATCCAGCAGTGCCCTGTGAGGACTCCCACGGATGGATGCACACACATTTATTGATAAATACACCGGACACACACTACAAGAAAAATCAAGGGGAGCCACAGCTGAACATGAACTGCAAACCTTCATGTTGGTGTGGGGAGTGGCAGGGACCTCCCACCCTACTGGCTGAATGAAGATGTAAACTCTGGGTGATGCCTCTGCTACCACGGGGCTTCTCCAGACTGCTACACAGCCAAGTGCTGGCAATGAGTTCTCCACAACTCATTGCCTTTTCCCTTTGCCACCTCCCTGCATCCTGACTGCGAGGGACCATGGACTGTTTTTGGGGGGGATGTGCTTTCCTTGTAGCCCTGTCAAAGGGCAAACTATCAGAAAGGAACTTCTTGGCAAGAGCTGGCCTGGAGGGTCTTGTGCAGGAAGGATGGTGGGAAGGGGTCCCTCAGGAGAGGGAGCTGAGCAGCCTTCTGTAGATGAAGCCCAGCTTCTCCCGCAGGGCCAGGAAGGTGGGACGCTCCTCCGTGTTCCCACTCCAGCATTCCAGCATGATGCTGTAGATCTCAGGAGGGCAGGAGCTGGGCCGGGGAAGGCGGTAGCCCCTGGTGATTTGCCGTACAGTTTCTTGGTTTGTCATCCCTGCAAAGAAGGAGAAGATTGCCCTGAAGGATGTGGGAGATCCTCCAGCCCATATGACCTTCCTTCCCCCAGCTCCTGCACCCACTCTACAACCACAGCAAATCCCTGTAAACCATGCCTAGAGTGGACAATAACTTGCTCATGCTCCAGGAGCTGCTTCCACATCCCTTGTGGAAGGGACAGTACAATAATTCATGACACATTGGCTCTTGGGGACCATGGGCAAGCTGCCCAGCACGTGGATGGAGGGCACAGGAGTGTGCTGGCAGCCCTACCTTCATACGGGATCTGTCCATATGTGAAGACTTCATAGAGCAGAATCCCGTAGGACCAGACATCGGACTTGAGGGAGTAGGTGCGGTAGTTGGCTGCCTCTGGGGCTGTCCACTTCACTGGGATTTTAGTGCTGCTGCTGGTGGAATAAATGTCATCCTGAAAAGCAATGGGAGATGGGACATGAGGGATGGGATGATCAACACAGAGACTGCTTTTGGGGCTTTGCTGGAGCTGCAGATTGGGAAAGAGGATGGCAGGGAACAGCTGCAGCACAGGGCAGCTTGGTGGCCCAGGGTAATGGGACTGACCTTGAGGAGCCGGGCAAGTCCAAAATCAGCAATTTTGCAGGTGAGTTCCTCTCCCACCAGGATGTTTCGGGCTGCCAGATCCCGGTGGACAATGTGCTTCTCCTCCAGGTACCTCATCCCATCTGCCACTTGGCAGGCGATGTTGAGCAGGTGGGAGGTGCCCAGGGACTTCCCTTCAGGACCTATTAATCCAGATGATCCAAGAGTTGGGGGCAATCTACCAACATCTGTTCTGGGTGTTCTGGTTTGGAGGGAGACCCTGTGCTGGCAATGTGGGACTAGGGGAGCATGTAAAACCTCGAACTGGAGGTCCTGGCTAACTGTCCTGGTGGTACTGTTTGGGAAGTTCAGCACAGCCATGTGCTCCTCAGGAATGGAGCTCTGAAAGGCACCACGTGCTGCAACAAAGATGCAACAGATTCATGTCTTGTTCAAAGGTAAAGGTGACCTTCTGCCATGCAAATCTCCCACCAGGCTTCTCAACCTGTTGTGCCTGTGAGCTCCAGCTCCTCCAGCACCAAATGCTTCTGGAGCCCCAACCAAAAACGAGGCCAGTGTGGGTGGGAGGAGTTGTACCCAGTAGAAAAACAGGTCTCAGTGGGAGCAGTTGTTTCCTTTCAAGACTGATTACTGCATCAGGAAAAGAAAGGCCAAGAAAAATAACCTGATGGTAGGATGATGAGTGGATCATGGCCTCTTATGAGCTCTGCACATGAACAAACCCATGGGGAGGTTTGGCCATTTCATTCCCAAAGAAGGTGGAGTTGCCCAAGCACAGCAGTAGGATTTGTGTGCACTGGTGGGAGCAGGTAGACCATGGGTGGGTAAAGAAGGAGAAATGAAGGTCCCTACCAGCATTCTTGGGCTCCCAGGGGCTGATATGGACCCAGCCCACATGGACACCATGTTTTTGGGTCTTGGGGTCACCCAAGACCGTCTCCATCAAGTGCCCATGGATTGATCTGTGTTACCACTAATCTAAAAAGGACCAAAACCAGACTGGTGCTCTCTTAGGGTCCCCATTCAGATTCACAGGGCACAGAAAGCACCCCCAGACCAGCAGTGCCCCAGGAGCCCTCTCCCCGTGGCGTGGCACGGTACTCACTGTTGAGGTAGCTGTGGAGGTTGCCTTTGCGCATGAGCTCAGTGATGATGTACACGGGCTCATCCAGCGAGCAGACAGCGTGCAGCTGGATCAGCTTCTCGTGCCTCAGGCGCTTCAGGTTCTGAATCTCCTTGGTGAAGTCTTCTGCTTTCATGTCAGCTGGGTGAGAAAGCCAACACGGCCATTGTGAGCTACTGTCTCACGTGGCTGTTGGCACCTCAGCACCCCCAACTTGGATAAGGACCTTTTTCCTCCCTGCAGCCCACCCCTGCCTTCAAAGCTTATGTCTGCACAAACTGTGTCTCAGACCCAAACAGCCAAGAGACATTTTCCATGGGGCATTGCATCCCATTGTCACAAACCCATTTGACTTGACATGATCCCAAACCCACTGACTGCAGCCATTTTATAGTGATGCAGCCCAAGCTTAGGTCTGCCCATAGAAACAGTTCAGCGGCTCCTTGCCAGGTCCTACCATAATTTGCCTGATTAAACAGTCACAGTGACCAAGAGGATGAGGAAACAAAAGAGTGTGACTGATGTGGCAGTGAAGGACAGACCCAGCTGGCCGCTGTTAACATCTGATTCTCCACGTACCTTTTATGATCTTGATGGCCACTGGCACCGTGTTCCTCCACAGCCCTTCCCACACCTCTCCGAAGTAGCCCTCTCCCAGCTTCCTCCGCAGGGTGAACTCCCAGCGCGGGCGCTCCCAGCCATCCCTCTCAGGGGGGGTCTGCCAAATGGACATGGAATGACACTCTTGGAGCAGCCAGCCAGGCAGGACCTGCTGTGGAGCCTGCACCAGCTTTTGGTGGCCCACAGAACAGGACATGATGCTGCCCCATCTGTGTGCACAGGGGTTGCAGCCCGAGCATTGCTTTTCCCTCTGCTAAAAGTTCACAAAGCACATGGGGCATCATCTGCCTGACCCCTCCTCCCCCAAGTGTGCAAGGGGGAGATTTGGGAGACTACACAAAATATCAGGAGTTCAAGTCATAATTCACTCCTAATCAGCCTTCAAAAGTGGCTTTTTTCCATTTCCACAAATAAATAAAAATAATTAAATTAATATTATTGCGTAATATGGCTGATTTAGACTTCAGCTCATTAGGTATTTCTTTTATACTACACCTTTCAGTTTCACTCTTGGATTATTCACATGTTTAATTGCTATTTCTAAGTCGTAATCAGTGGATGGAATTCTAATCAGGAAATGAGTTGGCAATTTGGGATTAATACTGTAATTAGATTTATGAGTGCCACACTAATTGGTATGAAAACTATATAAAAGCAATGTGTAGGTCTTATATTTTCAGGAAAAAAATGGAAGCACAGGTATTTCCAGAATCAGTATTGAAGGGATTTGTAACAACTTGGTTTCTAGTCTTTGAGATGGAGAAGACATTTCAGAAGATTCTGTTAATTTTTCCCTGTCAAAAATCCATAGAAATGCCATGCCCAGCCTTGGCGTGGCTGATAAAAGGTGATGCTGGCAGCAACGCTAAAGGTGGGCTTTAAATTTAGTTTAATAAAGCTCAAATCCCAAATGGACAGAGTAATTATTTCTATTTTCCCTAGTCTTTCTTTCCTTTTTTCCATCCTGCTCATCCCTGGGAGCCGGGCTGCTCCGTGCCACTGGCGTACGCACCGCGGGGCTGCAGGGCTGCAGCAGAGGGCTCTGGATGACCTTCCAGTGCTCCATGTAGAAGGCGAGGAGCTCCTCCATGTTGGGGAAGGGGTGTCCCTTCTGGATGTAGAGGTTGCCCCTGGGGCTCTTGCAGATTCGGAAGTGGCTGACCTTGGTGTGGTTGCGCACTGTGGGGAAGCCCAGGTTGGGGAAAACTCAACTCATGCAATCAACAGCTCCTTCCCACCTTCCTGCTGACTTCACCCTCTCTCCTTTCCAGACACCCAGTCTTTTAATCATCCTGAAGCAACACAACTCGCCCCTGGAGTGTTATATCCCAATCCCCGCATCCCTTCTCTTCCCAACTCCTGGCTCAGAGGACTCCTGCCCGTGGGTGAGCTGGGCTCCTTTGGACCACAGAGGTGATGGTTTTTTATTAGGGATTATTTTCTGTGGAAATGGCGTGCTCAGAGAGCAGCAGAGCTGCTCAAGGTGGATAAACCAGTGGCAGCTGGGACTCCCACAGCCTGAGTGGGATGGGGGGTTTGCCATGAATTTCTCAGGATTGCTTTTATGTGGATAGGACCAGACTGTAACAGCACTGCCTGGTCCAAACCCCTCTGAATTCAGATTTTGGTCTGTGCAGCCCAGGCTCTGATAATCTGGAGTGGCAGCATATTTTTAAACAACCTCGGATGACAAAAGCTGTTGGAATGAAATCCTGGGAGTTAGTGCCATGACACCATCATTAAGTCGCAGGGAAATGTTTACAGCTTTCCTACCCCGGATGGGAGCCACACACTTTCCTTTACCGCAGTAATTCTGCAATCCAGCCCTTCTCTGTTAGCTCTGTGCTCTCAGAAAGCAGCTGGTTCACTTCAACAAGGTGCTGAAAAGTGCTTTAAACTTATTCCCTTGTTTTTCACCCCGTGCTGACCAAGCCAGGAGCTGCCTTAAGGAACTGGTTCCTTTCCCTGTGCTAATTTTCTCTGGATAATTGCCACAAAGTCACCTGAGAGAGAGTATTCGCCCTTGCTGCTCTCACTGTCCCGGACAAGGAAGGAGCCGTGCTGGTTGGGAGGCGAGAGGAGGAGCTGTTCCGCTTCGTTTCGGCTAATCCTGCTGAAGTACCAGCTGGGGAGCAGAGCAGAGGGGTCAGTGCAGTGTAAGGGGATGGTGCATGGATGGAGCTGCATCCATAACAGGGCATCCTGCACCTTCTGAGCCAGGGAGGGGGAGTAGCTCCTGGGATCCCACTTTTTGGGATGTCAGGTGGCTCATCCTTGCAGCCACCAAGCCAGTGGCACAGCAGCCAGTCCATGTCTTAGAACCTGTAAATGTGGCTGACTGCATCAGGGCTGTTTCATTGAGTAGGTTCTGCAGGCACTTGCTGCAGTTTATTGCAGCTCACTGACTGCAAACCATTTCATAGAATCAGAGAATCCAAGAATGGTTTGGGTTGGAAGGGACCTTAAAACTCATCTCACTCCACCCCTCTTGCCATGGACAGGGATGCCTTCCACTAGACCAGGTTGCTCAATGCCCCATCCCACCTGGCTTTGAACACTGCCAGGGATGGGGCATTTCCTCCATCAGTGTCTGAACACCACTGTATTGAGCTGTCCAGGTCTCAGCCCCATCCCAAACCCAGGAGGTTTGTGCCCGTGGCTCAGTGCAGCACCTTGGCCGACAGCCTGTGGTGAATGAAGCAACAACCACCTGGTGCTGTGTGCAGGATGCTCTGGTGGGGTTATACCTGTGTCCTGCCACGAGAGCAACACCTGCAGGCACAGGATCACTTTGCACTTCTTGACCTGCGGTTTACAGACAGAAACAGCTCTAAGCCCATGAGGAAATGGCATCAGTAAAAACATCTGGTAGTGCTGGTTGGGGACTTCACAGCACCAAGCCGGGGGGAGGATGGGAGAACCAGCCAAACCCCTCTGATGTGTCACAGCACTGAGATTCATCACTGACTCCCCATCAAGGACAGGCAGGTTGGCTGGTTGCGTCCCGATGCAGCGGGATGCACGGGAGCGTGTGGAACCCCATCCAGCCTAAGGCAACCAAGACGTGAGAAGCTGAAGGTTTCGTCATTAGCTGGGATCGCCAGCGTCTGAGAAGCCGTGCAGGAAATTATAAGTGATGGGGTTACAGCAGCTGCACAAATTACCACCCAGCTCCGACCTGCGGCTCCGCGGAGTCTGCGTGCTCCTTACTGCCATCCGCCCTCCCAGCCTCGGCATCCTCCTCACCCCTGTCCTCGGGACGGGGCTGGGCACCAGCTGTGCACGGCTGGTGCACACACACGGGCACGCAAACACACACACACGTGCAAACACATATATGTGCACACAAACACATACATGTGCACACAAACACATACATGTGCACACAAACACACATGCTCCGCTGTAGCCTGTCCAACTGTCCCCTCAAAGCTCACGCAGGGAAGGTCTCTCCCATCCCACCGGCTGCCAGCATTGCCTCTTCGCACTGGGGACCCTTCCCAGGCTTCTCCCGCTCCTCTCTTTCACCCCCGCTCACACAGCACAGGGCCAGCGCAGGGGTCTCCAGGGACACACCCGCCCCAGCCCTGCGCTCCCTGGCACTCGGCGTGACTCAGGGCCAGGAGCAGAGGGAACAGCAGTGTCTCGGGGCGCTTTGCCCGACGTGTCGGGACCAGGCTGCCTTATGCAACAATGAGCCTGGGCTTTCCCCAGCTGACAGAAGGCTGAGATATCACCCCGAGCTCCGTGTCGGCTGGGAGAGGCACCGACAGGGAGGAAGCCCCCAGCTCCAGATAAGCAGGAGCCAGATGGCAGCAGCAGCAGCACTACATCTTGGCCCTACACATCTCTGGGCTTCCTGGCTTGTACCAACCGAAACTGCTTCCTCCCATGCTCCCGAGCCCTTTGGAGCTGGCAGGGCTCAGGTACAAGTTTTCCCAGCTCACTCCCTCCCTCCCTCCCTGCTGCCTCCCCTTTAATGCAGGACTAGAGGGAGAGCAGCCTGTTTATTTGGCACCATAGCTGCAACCTGTGCCCACCCCGACACCGCATCCCAGCCCAGAAACACCCCATCCTGTGCGAGGGTGATGCGGCCGGGAAGGGGCACCGGCACCTCTTCCCCTTGGCACATTCCCCAAATCTCGCTTGCTGTGCCGAATACCTCTCCACCACACTACCAGGAGCTGCAGGAGTTCCAGGACCGGGATGCCCAGGGCAAGGTAGAACCCCGCTCAGTCCCAGCACCACTGATGGCAAAAGCAGGGGACGAGGAGCTCGTTGTCCCCATCGCTGCGGAGAATGAGCGTTGCCTTTCCCTGCACAGGGATGCGCTACCCTGGTCCAGCCCCATCCCCCTAGGGATCCAGAGCATCGGATACTTACGGGCGGTGAGCTGAGGTGCCCTGGCTGAGGTTGGCCACGTAGGCAGCAGGGACGTAGCCCATGGCCGGCTCCCCCAGCAGCCGCCGGGCTAACACGTACTCCCCCTCTTCTCTGAGCACACGCAGTTTGTCCCCTGCGCTTACGCTCAGTTCCTCGGAGCTCCGGGCTGTGAAAGCGTATAAAGCGATACAGAGAGAAGACTTGGGGATGAAGGAAATGGAGTTCGGCTCCGAGTGCAGCGAAACGGAATCAGAACCAAGATACCCCAGGGAGCAGCTCTCCGTCACGGCACGGGGACGGAGCTTGTTCCAGAAGGATGTCAGGAAGCTCAAGCGCTTCCTGACGAACTGCTCCATCCCCGGTGATGCGGTGGGTGCGGTGGGCTATGCCACCGCGCTTCGGGGGGCCGGAGGAAGGGGTGATCCCGGGCTCATGCCGCCGGCCGGGCAGCTCATCCTGCCGCCCCGCGTTCTTCGCACGCGTCTGGGCGCTCGCCGGCCCTTCCCGGCGAACTTCCTATTTCTGAAAGTGAAACTGGTTCATCTGGTGAGACGAGTCTGCAGGCGGGATGAGTCTGCAGGCAGGAGTCCCACGCTCAGACCCACGGGCACATCTGGGAGACGGGCACAGCTGGAGCAGGGCTCGCCGCTCTCGAAGAAGGAGAACGGCTGTTGTTTTATCTATTAATTATTTTAAAGTGTGCTCTTTGCTTGTTACCAGAGCACCATAAACACAGCTCTCTGTTGTTCAAGCAGCTCTTGTCACAAGTGGCTGACTCCAGCTAATATTCTTCATCTCACTTGTGAGGGAGGATATTTTCTTTTTTCCATAGGACAATAATTGCATCTGCAAACGCGCGGGAGTTAAAACAGAATTAAGGAAATAACTTCAGAAGAGATCTGAAGTGTTTGGATATTTCCTGGGTGGATATTGTGGGGTTTATAACACAGGATCCTTTCTTCGTTTGGTCTACAATGACCTCCCACACTAAAATATTTGCCTCCTCCCACTAATTCCCCCTTGCACAGGACCTCTAGGGAATCCCCTTCCCAGTTCCACTGGGATCTGCTGCTGGCTCAGCCTCCACCAGAGGTGGGTCCTGTCCAGTCTCGGAAGGTCCTTGCCTGATGCAGGGGTTGGATCAGCCTCAGGCACCTGCAAGCATCCAGAGCTGAGCCCTGGCACACAACCCCCAGCTCCAGATGTGTCAGCACACCCACCCTCCCCCAGAGCTGGTCACACTCAGACACTGACATGCTCCAACCACAGCCATCAGCCAAGGGACAGATTCCCCCCTCACATCTTCCTGAAGCAACCTGAACATCACTGCTCTGGGGAGAAATCCCAACTGCAACCCCCCAACCCCTGACTGGACTTTGTCATTTAACTGTTCCATCTAATTAGTGGGAGTTTTGTGCCTGGTAAATCCACTCCTGGCTCTGAGACCATTATTTTGATCCTACTCTTCTTGCAGTTGGTCTGGGTAGCTCATTTTGGGTGTGTAGTTGGGATTTGAAAGAGGCTGCTCAAAAAGAAATACAAGAAGTTAATTGTAGGGGTCTGGGCTGCAGACTGCAACTGGGTGGTGTATGAGGAACTAGCTGAACCCATCCCTGGGCCAGCAACTCTAGATCTGCTGTGTCCTGCATCCTGGGTGTCCCATAATGGCCAAACAACCTGCAAAAATGCCTTGCCCTCGGTGCCACACAGGGATGTGTAATGTTTCTGTGCATTTTTCCCACCTAAGCATTAGGAAGGGAACTGGGGATGGAGCACAGAAGGACTTGCAACCCAAAGGGAAGGGACATCCCCTCTGCTGTCCTTCTGCAGCACTTGTGACAAGTCTGCTCCTCATGTCACGCTCCATCAGGAGCAAAATAGGCTGCTTGGTTATGCATTGCTGATAAGATCCAGCATGGAATGTCTATGCCTTACTGTTTAGAAAGAGGACTTCTGGTGTGCAGGAGACTGGAGACTGATTTACCTTTATTGACCTTTGCCAGATTAGATTCTCTAGTGGTACAAGTGATAGACAAGTGCAGCTGATTTATAACACGCAAGGCTTTGGATGTTGATTTGCACCTAAATGAAAGAGTACTTCAAAATGACAAACATCCCTGAGGACTAAATACTGCCTCTGAGCTGAACCTACCAGACATGCACAACACAGACTCATCCCTGCAAACCTCTGTCTGCACAGGGCACACATGCATGGCTCAGTCCCACGCCAGGAAAGAGATGATAAATCACGACCACTTTCTAGTATCTTCTTTTTATTTTCCTCTTAAGTTCCAGGAGCATTCCTGCTGCTTTAAATCCCCTTTGGTACTATAAAACACCTAAAAATAAAATTAAAAAAGAAAAGAAGAAAAAGCACGTTCATAGAAGTTTCTGGTCCTCGTGCTGTGGGAAGGCAGGTGGGAGGACACAGGAAAAGTGAGAAAGATAAGGAAGGCACAGATATCTGATGGATCAAGTATTTTATCTTCAAGTCCCCGTGACCAGCTTACAAGGAGGTATTAAAAACCAATCTGTCCACAGATTTGGGGCTGTGGTGGATACACAGGGACTTGAGTTCTAGCACCACTAAAAAGCACCTCCAAAGAGCAATGAAACCAGAAGACGTGTGCTGTAGATCTGGCTGCACAGTCCTGGTTTGGTTGCAGAGCACCTGGGAGCCATAAACACAAACAGCACTTTGCATTCACCCATGTGTCAAACACTACAGCGTGTCCTGCCAGCCTAATTGACAGAAACCAGCAGCTCCCCTCCACTAATGAGAGTGCCCATTACATCTAATTAGCTGAGGTTCTGTTCCAGGTCCTGTTACGTTTACACTTGAAATACATCTTCCAGCAAAGAGCCTTTTGGGAGGGAAAAAAAAGGAAGAGAAACATAATTCCAATTAAACTCTGAAAGGGGCAGAGAGCTGGGGAATGCAGGTCATGCTGAGGAAAATGCTTTTGGACATTGGACATGTAACAGTAGGTCACTCGAGGGGTCACGTAACCAAGGATGTGCCACTTGTCACCAATGACTGGCAAAGCACAGAGGGTGATTGTGGGCAGCCACACCATGCCTGGCACCCTGTCCTGAAGCATCCAACCATCCAGAAGACTTCCCTGGGCTTTGGGTCACTTCCTCACTGCTGGCAGGGACTGCAAGCCCAGTCCAAACCCAGTCCTGAGGTTCCACTTGGTCTTTCTGATGGCATCAGAAGATGGATGGGGGTTTGGGCTTCCTGTTTATTTATCTTTTCTTTTTTTCCTGATTTCTCCAGACATTTCCTGACACCACAGTGTGTTTGAGGAAGGTTTTGCCTCTTAATAAATTGGTTCAGTTGGGTGCCCATAGGAATTTTCAGACATGTGGTGGGTGACGACAGTGGTGCGTGGGAAGAGGAGCAGAAAAGGGGCACTAAAGCAACTTCAATTAGTCTCCATTCCCCTGGGGGTTGTGGAAGAAAGAGGCATCTTGGCAGACTCTGGGTTGTCACCATCCAGGGCAGAGCCCATCCCCAGGAGGCTGACAGAGGCAGGAAGGATCCAGGGGCTGAGGGGCTCATGGACAGTCAGTGCAGAGGGTTCAATACAGGCAAAAGTACAGTGGTCCGGGGATGGGGAGTGGCACAGGAGGTGTGAGAGGAGGCAGAGCTTCGTGGGGTCTTGTGGTGGCTTTCTGAGCCCTATAGGAGTGGGTTGGAGTGGCTGGTGGAGAGCAGGAGTGCAGGTCACAGGGCACCTGAAATGGCACAAGAAAGCAGAAAAGCTCTGTGGGAGGCAGCTGGAGGCAGAGAGAGCTGTTTGTGCAGTGCTTGGCTGGTCTGGAGCATGTAGGACTGCAGCAGGAAAACCCTTTAAACCCACAGTAATACTTTTCAGGGACCCCGTAAACCCTAGAGTGCTTTTCAAGGATCTGAAATGATAGCAAGGAAAAGCCAACTCATATGTCACACTGCACTCTATGTCACACTTGTAAAGCAGAATCACTGACTGGAAAATCTATAGGGACCAACACACCTAATTATGCTGGAAAACTGTGGCCAGCCTTTAGGCTTCTCCTTCTGCTTTCTGCTGAGATTATCAGCACAGACCAACCTTTGCTTGCCCCATCCTGTCATCTAACTTCCAGAGGATGCTCCTTCTAGTACAGACTGCCTGGCAGAACAGCACTTACTGCTTATCTCCCCTGCTCCTGACCCTGCAGTAATCATTTGCAACACATAAAAACCATTAACCACCTTCTCCAGACTGGCAGGTGCCAGCAAGCTGTTCACCCTCTCTCTCAAGGCTGTAGGGATCTCCATGGAAAGTGGGATAAGGAAGCTCAGGTTGTGCTCTCCACGCCCCTGAACGCCTGGAGCAGAGGTCTGGCAGCTCCCTGCCAGGACCCTGCCATTGCTGAGCAGCAGCTGGAGTCCCCAGGCTGGCAGTGCTGACAGGGACTTTACACACACACACCTCACAGTTGTGCTGCCCTGGCTGGGGCTGAGCAAACAGGGGACTGTTGCCTCCAGAAGAGAAGTGCACAGTGACTCAGATGGTGAGGGGGAAATCTCTGCCAATATGTAAGCAAATGATGGATTGCTCCATCTGCCCAGATGTCCTTGTTACCCTGGGGAGGAACCAGTCCATCTACTCCATCACTGAGCTGTGTGATATCTCTCCCCACAGAGGTCCTTTGGAGGCTGTTGGATTTGGGGTTATAATATTAAGTGTTGTTAGAAGAAACCTACCCAGAGTCCCAGGAGAACAGGCCCGAGAGACCTCACCCATCCCACCTGGTCCATCCTATACTTATGTCTTTCCCCATCTTTGCCAAACCAGTTCTTAAAAGACCTCCAGGAATGGATACGCCACCACGTCCCCAGACAACTCATTCCGGTGAGTCACTAATCATTACCAGCAGAAATGACTGTCTAACCTGCTGCACTTAAGCCTATTACTTCATGTCCCATTCATCACCACATTGCTCCATTCCTTTCTGCAACATCCTCTCCTGCATGTGAACACTGCTGAGGTGTCCCATTGCACGCTCAGCAGATCCACATTGACCCCAGCCCAGAACAAACACACTGACCTTATTCAAAGAGGCAACATGGTCATCTTTTTCTCCATTTGTCTCCAGTTTTCTTGACCTGTCCTTGTGTGCTGGTGTTCCTGTGCTGCCACCTCAGCTGGCTCTCTAGTGCGTTCACCTGGGGATGACAAAGCAGCAGCTCAAAGAGGAGTCTGCACCACTGCAGAGATAACCTTTAACCTGTCCCAAATACAAGGAGTCTGCACCACTGCAGAGATAACCTTTAACCTGTCCCAAATACAAGGAGTCTGCACCACTGCAGAGACAATCTTTAACT